TGGCTATTTGCTTCGTACATTTGTCTTTGTGTGGTAGTAGTGGGTGACGAGCGGTGACAAGCTTTAGAAATAGGGTTGTTGGTAACTTTGGGGGTGTTGTCTGTTTTTGCGGTTGGATGTGTAAAGGACAGTATTTCGTCACGTTCGTCGTCGGAGATGTCTATGTAGAGTGTGGGTGAGGTCTTGGGGTTCTCCTCGGTTGCTGGTACCGCTTCAACCTCAACTCTCTTTGAGTTAAGGAAGTTCTGACGCTCAGCCGTGAATGCCTGGGAAAGGGCAGAGTTCAGTCCAGGGGAGAGGCAATCCATGTTGGAGAGGATGTTTCGGAAAGGCTTTAAGAACTTCCAACTGGGTTGTTCTATATTCCTTAGCTCATCTTCCAGGGTCCAGGGCTCATCCTCTGGCAAGGGTTCTCTGGAGCTCTTAAGCTCCCCTTTTAACTCCTCTATTTTTTCAAGGAGCTCGTGGTTGTCGCTCTTCCAGCTTTTCAGGACCTTGCCAGCTTCTAAAAATATCCATATGAGGTTAGCTTGGTCGGCTCCATCTTGGATGATAACGTCCTTGAGTACCCTTATGTCATGTTGTTGTCCCAGGGCTATGTTCATCAGCCGTGTGATTTCATTGTGAAACTGGATAAGGTTTTGGTGTTGTGCTGTCACGAACGTGTTCAACCGTGCTACTTCCTGCATGAGAGATTGTTCTCGCAGGGATAAGGACGAGGCTTTGAGGATTCTTTGGAATGAAAGAAATAAAAAGTTATTGTTTTATTGATAAATATTTAAAAATAATTTAAATTGATATTATTGGATAAAAAAAATTTTTAAAGAAAAGTAATTTAATTATATTTTTCTACGATAAATTCCATTGAATTTTAACTTGACAATTTATTTTTGTTGATGTTGAACTGCTGTTGAAAATCGTTGACACTCCTGATGTTGAATGAGGAAACCATGAGGCTGCTACCGGAAAAATGCGTCGTTACCGCAAAATGGCGGCGTCATCAGTTTTCGATTAATTTTGCTCTTTTTATTTTGGAGCAAAAATTTAAAATAATTTTGTTGAGTTCACCTGCATATGGCTCGACCAAGATCTTCTTTGGGTGAAGATGTTTAATTTTTGATTTGTTAAATGAGAAAGACACGTGGTTACACTTGACTCACCACGTAGTGGAAAATAAATTTTGAGATATTGTTGAACTTTTTGTGAATCGTCGAAATTTCCCATTTGTTGATTTGTTTTTCGATTTTTGATGATTTTGACTTGGTGATAGTCGTGATATTGCTTGATAATTTTCCCTGTGGATAGTGATGATTAATTTTGTTCCTCGTTCGAAGTCACCAATTTATGGGTTATGTTGTATGGTATTTAAATATTTCCCATAATATTCCACTGCTCGTCAGAAGGGCGATTAATTGATCACAAGCAAAACTACCAAATTCTTGGTCAACTATTTATTTGCAATTTAAACAATACACCGATTACAATTTCTACTATTAGATTCTGCTTGGTTTCTGAACACATCTGCCACACTCAACAGTACAGAAATTTCTGTTTTACAAGATACTGAGCCATGCGTTCGTTTACACTTGCCTAGGAGGAAGGAAGAGAGAGGGAAGCCTAAAGGCGGGTCCCCACACTCCCATCCAACTCCACACCCAGATATTTAAGTTGTATCCTCCACTTGACCTCGAATTCGTCTGTCACGATTCGCAGGAGCTCATAACCACGTCTATCTGTGACCAGCATTGCCTCGGTCTTCTCCAGAGATATTTGGCTGGATACCAGACCTCTGGTATCCAGACACCTTTTTGCTAGTCGCAGACATTTGTTCACCAATGTCCCAAGTGCTTCCTCAGTATCAGCCGTGCATACGAACAACAGGTCGTCTGCAAAGCCGATGATCTCTGCGCCCTCGGGTAGCCCCACGCTGCATCTCTTCTCTGAGAGTGCAGGTGTCTCCTTCATAAATAACAAAATAACCCACCTGTCGCTAAGATACTTATCCATTAACCGCAACAAGAAGGGCGGTATGTTTTTCTTTCTCATTGACTTGATGAGACCTTCTCATCTCGCGGAATTAAACGCGTTGCGTACATTAATTGCTACTCACGTGCAAAAACTCTTCTTCTTTCCTGGTCCCAATTTGCTTTTTCCTGCTTTGGCTATGTCCACAACTGCCTGGATGGCATCAACTGTGGACCTGCCTTTATGGAAACCAAATTGATGATCAGATAGACTATTCTCTCCGGTCAAGTGTCTTTGAATTCTCTGCAGAACCATATCCTATGGAAGTTAACCCATCGTATCTAGCAGGCATACATATAGGCCTGTACGACGCAACTTTATCCAGAGGTTTTTCACCTTTTCTTAGGAGGACTAGCCTCTGCCGGTTCCAGTCGCGGAAGAACTCTTCTTTCTTAAGGCAAAGATTGAAGCATCTAATTAGAATCTGGGGTGAAGTGTCGATAAGTAATTTTAGGATCTCGTTTCTTATCCCATTGATTCAAGGCGCCTTGCCTTTCCGTCAATCTTTTAGCTGCGTTTTTTAATTCAGTAAGTGTGAAAAGTTCTTCCTCTTTGACTTTGCAGGAACTTCAGTTCATCCTAAGGTATGGCTCTGCAGGAGGAAACAAAGACTTTATTATCTGTCTAACCCAATCGGGATTGTCCAGACCGGGGGTCTTTTGCCTCGTCTTTATAATTTCTTACTAACGATTTTAAAAGCCAGACCCCAAAGGTCCTTATCGACTTCCTCGATTAGGTCCTTCCAGCTACGAAGTCTCGACTTGCGGATCTCTTTCTTGAGTTTCTCTTTCTTGAGTTTCTCTTTCGCCTCCTTGAAAGCCTCCGCAGAATTACAGACTGGCCAAGATGGACCCTGAACCGCCTCCGTTAGTTACATACAGTGCCGCTCAAAAGGATTTGCCCACTCTAAGCCATGCAAGGGCATTACAAAAAGTTTTGTATCTTCAATAATAATAAAGATAAAATCTTAATCAAATATTTATTTTAAACCTTAAGTATTTGACTAAAAATAATGACAAAAAAAATTCAAGAAAAATTTTTTTTTAATGTTTAATTGCTGAAAATAAAAAAAAAATTTCACTTTTTTTGAAAAATTTCAAATTGATACAATTTTTGAAGAAATCATCACATTTAAAATCTACAAATGTCTTTGGAAAGCATTTTTTGTCATCTTTCAAACGATTTTTAAATATTTAAATAACATTAATTATAAAACATTTATTTGTTTATAAATAATTAAATCACTGTTGTTAAAAATAACATTCAATATAAAAATCACGAAATTAATTAATTAATTAATGTTATTTAAATATTTAAAAAATTTAATTATTAACTGTTCTTTTTAACAGTGATAGTTTATGTTGTGTTAGATTTTATCGATATTTATTCGTCTTAAAAATATATTCAGAAGGAAAAAATGTTTAAAAAAAATTTTTTTTTATTGTTTAAATATTTTTTTCTAATTCTACGCACAAAGAGGCACATTTTTTTTCTTAACAATTTTTTTCAAAAATCAATTGTTCTCAATTTACTAACAATTTTTATAAATTATTATTATTTTTATAAACAAATGATTATATCTTTCTTAAAAAATATCGTAGAGCAAAATTTAAAAAATCGTTTGAAAGGTGACAAAAAATGCTTTCCAATGACATTTGTAGATTTTAAATGTGATGATTTCTTCAAAAAATGTATCAATTTGAAATTTTTCAAAAAAAGTGAAAAAAATTTTTTTTAATTTTCAGCAATTAAACATTAAAAAAAATGTTTTCTTGAATTTTTTTTTGGCATTATTTCAAGTCAAATACTCAAGGTTTAAAATAAATATTTGATTAAGATTTTATATTTATTATTATTGAAGATACAAAACTTTTTGTAATGCCCTTGCATGGCGTAGGGTGGGCAAATCCTTTTGAGCGGCACTGTATACGTTATAGCATTGCCGAAGCATTTTCAATCTTTTAAATTATTATTATGTTTTGAAGGTAACAGTCTACTGATTAGTCAGAGTTTAACATAATATTGAGTTACTTTAACAAAATGAAGCAAATCAATAATATTTTATGTACCATTGTCATTTCAAGAGAAGTAATAGAATTATCTACAACTGTAAATCATTATGATGGCTTAATAAAGTACGTAAAGGAAGAATCAAAACTGCAGAAGGTAGTATTTCATTTTGATAATAAAAAGCAACACAGATGATTCAGTAAATTTTTTCGTCAAGTTAATCAAGAAGAATTTTCCTTCTCTAAGTATTGAATCCAGTAAAAGAAGGAATAAACTTTTTAATCGTACATTCTCGAATGTTATCTGACATGGAAGTTAAAAATACATTACAGATTTTATGGAAAAAATGATTTTTTGATGTTATGATTTTTGTCTATCATCAACAAGAGACTGAGTAACACAACAAGAAAGGTGACAAGCTACCTGTTCTATATAATTTTAATCCGTTTATAAAAAATACACTGATCTTCAGTTATCAAATAGAAGCCAATGGTTATCAAATAAACTACGAAATTTACATGGATATCTTTTAAAATTTCTGTTTTGGGACTCAAGAAAACAAATGTCAACTAATTACACTGAAGGAAAGAAATTTGGTGAAATTTTTGCACAGGTTAAACTTTCGATTATGCATTCATGAAATTTTACCCATTAATAATCTGAAGGCATCTACAGTTTTACATAAAGAAAAGGCTGAAGTGTTTTTAAACACATTTTTGTTCACAGAGAATTTAAACTTTATTACGTTTGAAATGGGATATGTACATTGTTGCATAAGATTTTTATGAGTGTTATTTAAAAAGCTCTAAACATCATTAGCTTAGTCGCTTTTCCATAGAATCAAACAGTAATTTATTAAAATTAGACACCAGTTTTATGAAATAGTGGTATGAAAATTTTTTCCTTATATTTTTGTAATGAGGTTCTACAATAAAGAATTAGTTATCACAAGAACTTTGTCTATTTATTTTGTTTATTTTGTAATCTGTCAAAACAAATTTTTTTTTCACTAATTTACAAAATTTAATATTTTTTGTTTTAACAATTATAATAGATTTAATAACGTGGATTACCTCGTCGAGTCGTTAAGAATTACAAAACTGGTTTAAGAATCGGAAAATATGAACTTAATATTTAACGAAACGGGAAAGTAAAAGAAACACACGCTACGAGTTATCAGCAGAGGATAAAGTATTTTATTATAGCATTTAGTTGAAAAAATCGACCTTATTGAACCTCCTCTTTTGAAGACTTTTTAAAACATTGGGTCGTAAATTAATATCATTAATTTAATGAAGACCCATCAGAATGTGCAAAACAAAAATTTTCAATTTCTGGTATATAATTACTTATAGATAGAATACTATTACTATAATTTATTTTTTTCAAGTACATCTTAATAAACGATTTTTATTTACTTTCAGGATTCATTTCAAATATGTAAAAGCAATATGAAATATTTTCCTGAAGAAGTTAATATACCTTGTGACTGTGAAGATACTTATTTGTATTATAGTTACCATGACTCTTGTTATGATGCTTATAGACAAGGTCCCTGTCCTGCAGGCAATTATTTTGTATTACCTGAAGGAGAGATGGAGGCAAAATGTGAAAAAAATCCCTGCAATGTAGATGGCCTTGTTCCTTTTAATGGAAAATGTCACTTTCTCTGGAAATCTGGAAGTCCCTGCAAAGATGAGAATACTTACTTAGGGATCAACAAACAATTTCAAATTGAATGCAATAATTCTCAATATTTGGGAAGCATGGATAGCTTGGTAATTTAAAACTTTTATTTAATGGAGTATCTTACTTTAGAAAGGGTTCCCTTAAATGAACTTCATGCGAGTCCATTGAATTTTTAACAAAAATTTCCGCCGTATTAGATCCGCTATTTTTAATTTTATAAATCTGATATTGAATTCTTAATTAACCCTGAATTCCCCCAAGTAACAAGTTCTAAACGAATCTGATTAATTTTAAATCAGAATTTCCTAGAACAGATCATACATATTTTATCGTGATCATTGTTTGAAACAAGTTTAAATCGAATTGCATTAAATTTTTTTTAAAGTATGTGTTCTCGCATATATATTACCTGAAGATTTATTTCAAAAAGAATTACTTTTTAACCGTCTAAAGTATAGGATTTCCGCCTTAAATGAAGTAAAACTTTTTGTCTAATAATTTATCTAGTCAAAGTTGTTTTAAGTAAAGAGAATTCTACCCTAAGCGGACAACTCAAAACTTCTAATGTATCAAGGTGTAAAATAGTATCTTTTATATTTTAAAAGTTTTTTTATTTATAACGTCATGGTCATGGCAGCAATTTACAAATCAAATGAATTTATTTTATTGGAAGTGTTGGATTATCCATTTCGCGTAGAATGTCCCTTATATTTTATTAAAATTAATCGAATTAACAAAATAAAATATTTTCAGAAATCGTCAAAATCTTGTCCAGAGAATACATATCTTTCTCCAACAAATGAAAATAACATGAATTACAGTTGTAAATGTAAAGAAACTTTCTTATTTTCCAAAGAAAATGTATCCTGTTATAAGGCTTACAGACAGGGTCCTTGTTCTGAAGGAAATTATTTTGTTCTTCCTCTAGAACAAAGTGAACCAAAATGTGAGAAAAATCCTTGCCACGAGGATGGACTGGTCCCTTTCAATGGAAGCTGTCATCATGTATACAAAACTGGAACTCCTTGCTCTGATGATTTTCACGAATTATCAGTCACTATCAATGATTTTCAACTAACATGTACTAGCACTACCAAAGAGTCAAAACAAAATCAAAACATTACAAGTATCTGGCTACCACAAAGCTTTTTTACACTAGATTTACAACAACCAAGAATTATAAACCCGCCAACTAAAGCGTGTCCTCCTGGCACTCGAAGATACTTTTACGCATGTAGACGTACTTTTGATTAAAAGCACATTTAAAAACATATTTTAGATCTGAACCAATGATTGTCACTTGGCCAAAATATAATAAAGTACTACTATAAACTGAAGCTTTTAAATTATCTAATAATGATATAATGACACAAATTTCCAGTCGTTGGAACTCACCAGTTTCCAGTGGTTGGCACCCCATACATATCCTTTAAATTTCTTATGTTTCAAACAAGTAAATTAAAAAATTTTGTATTTTCTGATTAATCAAGAATAATTAATTATAATTTTCAGTAATAAACAAATACAAGAAAATATACTTATATATAATTGAATAATAAGTATATATAATTTTTCAAATAGACTGAAATTATTGACTAGACGTAAACATTGTTACATAACCTCACTTTTCATTGCGAAATGAGAGGGCCATCCATTCAAAAAAAATAAATCAATATAATGTTATCACTTTCTATTTCATAGGAATACACTTGACTCTTGGGGGGGGCCAAACACCCATGCCCCCTCCTGGATCCGCCACTGCAACGACTGGAGAGTTTGGTTAAAAATTGCTTGTCCAGTCTTTGACATGTGTGTGTAAACGACTGGAACAGTTGCTTTTTTAAATATTTTTATTGGCACCCCATTGAAATAAATGAATTAATAATTTTTAAGAAAAGACGTGTTAAACTATCAATATTTAAATATTCTACTAGCATAGGGTAACTGCACCAATTGCCGAGGGTGCACCAATTGTCGAGGATCATAATTTTCTTTTTTAGATAAAGTATAATATATAATATTTAAGAACAAAAAAAATTTCTAAATAATCTTTGTATTTTCAACTGTATATTTATATATTCAAATTTCGTAGCGATTCTACTAAAATAATTATTTAATTAATATTATAATTCACTGCTGTGAAATTTACTCAAATCTCCATTTTCTTAATACTTCAGGTTGATTAAAACAGATTTTTAGAAATGCAAATTAAACGTATTTATAATGACTTTTTGTGTACAAAATTATTATTATAATTTTGTACAAGAACTAAATTAATTTTGTATGCATGTTTTTTTGTTAAAAAAAAATATTTAATATTTTTTAAAAGCAAATCATCGGTATTTGGTTCCTTTTTTTTGACAGTTCCATTTTTCGAGGTAATGACTCGAAAATTGGTGTAGTCACTTTTTTCGCTGATGCACCATTTATCGATGGTTAAGTGTTTATTTACTAAACGTCAAACATAAATGCCAAACATTTATAGGTACAGAGCAGGAAGGAAGAGTAAGGAGACCGAACTCTGCTTCTACAAATGTCTGAAAAATATGCACGAAAAGTGCCAGACTCACTGTGTTCTAGTTGATCGCCAATTAAGTCGATCATGCGCATTGAACTAAAGTTCAGTGTTGACATAGATGAAAAGTGTGGTTATGTCAAGGTAAATATAACATAGTTTAAACAGTGTTAATTTTAAAAGCAAATTTATTTATTTGCAATTGTGATATTATTTAGATTTTCAAAATAATTTAATAATATATTTATGAAAAGGGAAAAATTTTGCGAAAATGGTTAAGAAGAATTGTGTTTATAACTAGAGTATATTTACATACCGTAGAAGGATAGAAGAGACTAATGTTTTTAGACTCTTTTTGTTCTTTCTTTACATCCGGGCACACAACACGACATTTTTTAAATAAAATAAATACATAATTATTAAAACGAAATGTATTGTATATGTATCTCACTAAGACCGGCTAAATGTAAACATTAGATCTTACATCTCACTCGCACAATTTTTACGAGAAACAGAGACACAACACAGCTTATGCGCATGATCGACTTAATTGGCGATCAACTAGAACACAGTGAGCCTGGCACTTTTCGTGCATATTTCTCTGAGATTTTTAAAGCGCTTTCTACACAGAGTTCGGTCTCCTTACTCTTCCTTCCTGGTACAGAGAAAAAGAAAACAAAATGCTTCAAAAATTTACAACCAACAGAAAATAATCAACCAAAAAAACGAGGAAGACCGAAAAAAAATTAATAAAAAAAATGCATTATTTAAAACTAAAAAATTTTGTTCTATAGTTTAATTATAACCATTATATTCACAGTTCGTAATAAAAGTTTATTTTATTCGTTTACAAATTTAATGTGACTTAAATTAATTTATTTTTTCAATTAATGTCTGATTAACAAAATTGATTAAATTTAATTAACTTATTTATAAAAGTTTAAAAAATAGTTAAATAATTTTCTGTCCTGTATCATCTACTATAAAAAAGGTTTTATATCGATATTATATTAATTATTCAATTATAGTTAAATAAATATATTTTTGTTTTCTGGTAATATTCTATAATATTTTTATCGAAAAAATAAATATCTACTCGATTTTCAAATATCTGTACAGGTTAATTGTTAGGTTATATTGGGTTATATGTTTAAAAATGTCATACCCTCGACAATTGGAACAGACCCTCGAGAAATTAGCACAAGACCATCGACAAATGGTGCTTTTGCTCGATTGACTTTTAAATATATTTTTTGCTTAACAATTTAGTTTATATTAAAAAAATAAATATGAATATTAAACATTATTAGATCCTTCGTTTAAATATACAAAAATCAAATTTTAAAGTGCATTTACTTCCGAGAAAAAAAATTTCAAAGTCACATGTTGCCTAAAACCCTCGACAATTGGTACAGTTACCCTATTTTCAAAGAAAAAAGCAAATTTACCAACTTCTAATAATAATAAATTATGTAGGTTTGAAAATTTCAGTTTTGGTAAGATTTTCTTTAGAAAATCGAAAATTTCCTAACACTAAGAATGATATTAATTTTATTTTTTAAATGCGCAATTATGTAATTACTTCTATAATAAGTTATAAACTAGATTTTTGTAAAAAATGTTCGAAAATTTAATAGTCGTATGCAAAACATGCTAGATTTTTGTTATTTCTTGTTATTTAAAGAAAATCTAAGAATGGTGCCAACGACTGGAGCAGTTACCCTATTGACTTTAAGGGTGAAATTTGTTTTTCAATATATTGTTGTAAATATCAATTCAACAAAAATTTTGTAAAAACCTTTTTTTTGTAGATATTAATAACATCTATAACTTTTATTGAAAACTGTTTTTCTATCTTTAACAATACAAAAGTTATAGACAAACGAATAAATAAAATTCAGGGATGAGAATTTTCAAAATTAGTTTACCTACCCTTCAACTTTACATTTTAGAACAAAAACACATCAGCCTACAAAGCACAGTATTTTTCTGCAAGTTTACTGCAAGTTTTCCATGCAAAGTTCGCAAGTTTGCATCCAAGTTTGCAGCAAACTTGAATACAAATAAAAATGTCACCCTCTTGGCAAGTTTGCAATGAAAACTTGAGGAAAATTTGCAGCAAACTTTCTAAAATACCTAAAAAATTAAAAAAAAATTTTTTTTTGCAAATTGCATATATTTTGATGAACGATGCCTTCCCTGCAGGGAAGGTGACTAAAATATAGTGCGCAACTCTAGATGTCATAGTAAACTACTGCGCATACATTTAAGTTTTTGCTATTTGGCGCAAGTTTGCTGCAAACTTGCAGTGCAAACTTGCCAAGTGGGTGACATTTTTATATTTATGCAAGTTTGCTGCAAACTTGCAATGCAAACTTGCGAAATTTGCATGGAAAACTTGCAGCAAACTTGCAGAAAATGTCTGTGCTTTGTGGGAGATTTAATTTGAACGAAATTTTCTAACGAATAATTTGTTTAAATAAAATGTTTTTTTCAGATTTATTAATATTAATAAAAATTATAAGTTCATGAATTAATATTAAACATTATTAAACATTAATTTGGTAAACTTGTGAAATTAATACTATTTTTGAAAATAAAAAAGAATTTGAACTCTATTATTTTGAAATCAATTTATACCGGTTTTTATGAATATGATTAGAAATATTAGTTTCCCGTTTCTATTGACCAATTTATTGTCCACACAAAATTAATTTTATGTATTCCTTTCAGTCTTCTAAGTGTCGTCAATGTTAACTTATGAAACATCTAAATAGAAAGTAGTCTCAAAATTGTTCGTATTTATATATTATAATTTATAAACAAAATGAAAATTTTATTTCAAGTCTGTGTCATCTTTGTGATTTTTAATGAAATTTTGAGCCTTGTATATACAGTAAGTAATAATAATAGAAATATATTGAAATTACTCTGTTATGAAATTAGTTGTTAAATAGGTAATATTTTTTAATTAAATTAATTGTAATAGTTCACTAGTAACATTTTAGCAATTTCTAACAATAATCATTTTTAAATACGTAAGTAATCACTAGTTCAATAAGTTTGATTTAATCTATTTTGTTTTTACATATAGCTTTTATAAAAAAAATGTATCGATTTAACTTTTTCTACATCTGGGAAGTTTAGAAGATCGATACAAAAATCCTTAACTATAGAAATATCTTTATTGGAACATAAATATTGTTTTCTAATATTTTTATAATATTCACACTCTATTAAAACATGAAACAATTCACTCCCCTTCAAAATTGCTTTTCCGCAGCAATAATAATTGTTATTTAATTTCAAAATATTGTTTTTATAAATTATTCTTAAATTGTGATTGTTAATTTATTAAACGGATCTGAGCAAATATTCTAACAAATGTTAACGGTATTTTCAATCTTAAATAATTTTGCACACCATCTCTTAAAAAGAGATGAGGAAGTAGTTAAAGAGACCTCGAATTTGAAAGAGAGTTAAAATCTTTAGCTCGTAAAAAGTTTTCGTAGGTATTGATTAGTCTCTCTTTATTTTCTTAAATAAATTCATAATTCCATCAAATACTTTTTCCTATACTTTCAAAAAAATTTCAACCTGATTACACCAATTATATTTATTAGTTGAATTGGTCGATTTTTTATATTAATTAACTTTAATAAACATATTTTGGGATAACTGCGTCGCTTTCCATTTCCAAAATTTTCTCGATTAAGTTAAGTGTTAATTTAAATATTCTTATTTATTTATTTAATATTATATTTAAATATTTTTGAGGCACCGATTTCCAGACTAATCGAATAATTTGGAGTATTTTAATTAAATAATAAGAGTTTTTTTAATAATAGGTCATTTGGGTTCTTTAAATTTTATTAAGGGAGCGTAAGCTCCAAGCTTGTATGGCATAAAAAATGTACTACTACCCAGTGAGAAATTTCTCACCGGTCCAATATCGGTCCAATATTGGGAGCCAAGATACCGATCATCGGTCCAATAAAGGCTCCCAATATTGGACCAATATGGGCTGATGCTTGGGATGTAACGGCATCGCCAATCATCGGTTGTCAATATTGGTCCAATATTGGCCGAATATTGGCAACCAAGAGAAAAAAATTTTTTTAAATAATTTTTTTTTAATTAAATAATAATAATAAAAAATTAATGTTTATAATTTTTGTTTAATATATTTATTTGTTTAATTATTTATTTTTAATAATTCATGTAAATAATAAATAATTTATTATTTATAAATTATAATTATTTAAAAATGCAGCAGCTATTAGAAAATAGCATTCTGCAAAAAAATTCTATCATTGAAAAATCAATGATAGGCGAGAGAAATCCGCGTCTTTAAATAGATTCGCAGATGATAGACAAGAGATATCCGCGTCATTAAACGGATTCGCAGATATACTCTGGTCTCGCGACGAATCTCTCGATACTTATATACACTGGAGTCGCCGTGTCAGTTGCGAGAACGGTTACAGCGTCCCTCTTTCGGCAGAGATAAGAATTGTCACGTAATAAATATGTGTATTTTTAACTAATTGGATCTTTTTGTTCCCATATTTGAAATCAATTGCAACTTTTTCTAATTTTGAAACTTTTCAAACCTAGTAAAGCCAAAGTCTAGGTAATATTAACAATTGCAAAAATTGTTTAAACAAATTATTATTATTTAAAACATGTATCGAAAGATAAGAAAATTTCGGCGTCCCCGTGAATAAATGTAAATTTAAATTTCAAAAATTTTTCTTATGGAAATATTTAAGATAAGACATTTTTTTTATTGATTTTTAATACATATTGTAAGATATGTAAGTATGAAATATAGCTTTCAAAAAAAATTAGAAATGGCGAAGATACACTCATTCCAGGACAGCAGTACATTTTTTGGTGGTGGGCATGATTGGCATTTCAATTATGGTCTGAAATAAGTAAAAAAAACATTTTTTCGCAAAAGTGATAAATTTTGAACAGAGTGACGCAGCTGTTCAAAATTTATCACTTTTTAGAAAAATTGTTTTTTTACTAAAAGAGCAGAAGTCATCAAAAAGGAATTTATATATTAGGTTAGGCTAGGTTGCTAGAGTTTGTACAATCTTTACTATCTTTATATTAATGATACTAATTCTATTTACAGGGAGATACAATTATTTGTCCGCCAAATATGGAACCTTACTCAATTTATGAGAATAGTACTGAAGAGGTCTGTGATTGTGAAGAGAATTTTTTATATTACATTAAAGATGATTCTTGTTACGAACCCTTTAGACAAGGACCTTGTCCAGATGAACATTACTTAACTCTTTCTCCTACAGACACAGTTGCAAAATGTGTAAAAAATCCATGTGGTATAGATGGTTTTGTTCCTTATAATGGAAAATGTCAAATCCTATGGGCGCAAGGAAAACCCTGTGAAGATGAATTTCTTTATTTAGGCATCAACAAAGATTTTCAAATTGAATGCAGTGTATTAGGATATATGGGAATCCAAGAAAATTTGGTAATTACTTATTTACTCTTTATAATATTCTTGACTTTATAATTATTATATTATTGGATTACAGGAAGTAAGAAACAGTTTTTGATTTCTTTTGATCCACATTTTATTAGTTAAATTTTAAGTCGCGTATCTAAAAGCTAATTTAAATTATACCTCAAAAAGAAATTTTTATGTATTTTGAAACTTATTTTTATATAAAATAAATGTTATAAAGTTATGGTAAATTAATGTTCTTTCAATTTCTATTTATTAAATTATTGAAATTCTCTAAACGGGTACATAAACAAAACATAAATTATCATTTTATATCTTTTGTTAACGTTTCGTTATTTACAGAAATAACGAAAATTATATTATATTATAATAAATTATATTATAATAACGAAATTATATTATAATAATTTCGTTATTTACGCTTTTTTTTACAGAAAACGTCAAAATCATGCCCAAAAAATTCGTACCTTACTTCAACAAATGAGGATAATACAAGTTATGCTTGTGTTTGCAAACCAACATTTTTATATTCCACAATAGATAATTCCTGCCATCAGGCTTATAAACAGGGTCCTTGCCCAACGGGAAATTATATTATACTTCCTAGCGAAGAACAAGTTCCAAGATGTGCTAACAATCCTTGTCATAAAAATGGTTTAGTTCCGTTCGCAGGTGGATGTCATGAAGTTGGCAAAAGTGGACCTCCTTGTTCAAATGATTTCAAATTAATTGTGGATAAAAAAACTTTTAAGTTGCGTTGTATTGATATTTATTTTATAGATTACGACGATTTTGTAGGTGTTGGTGGCATTATAAATGCACCTCGCAAAGCTTGTCCAGCAGGAAGTCGAAGAGTTCTCTCACACTGTAAACACATGTTTCAATAAAAAATTGTCAAGTTAAAAGTCATTTATATATATTCACAATTAACTAATGTTTTAACATTAACTGAAACTGTTGCATAGGTCCTTATTGCATAAATATGTCATTAGGTGGACACGGTTAAGTGCTGCTAACATTGATTGCGAGATGAAGGATAATTCCGTCTTTATTCTAATGTAATTTATAATATCATGTAAAAGCTTTAAAAACTTGTTTTGTTTTTTAATAAAAATCTATTCTATGATAAAGAAAAATAAGAAGAAAGATCTTAAAGAAGAAAGATTTTCTAAGATAAAGAAATTCTTGAAAAATTTGTGGGAAAAATGTCTAAACTGTTGTAACTTTTGAAGTAATTCGGATAATTTATTTTGTCTTTTTGCATCTAAAAGAGTTTTGTTCGTCTTTCCAAATCCGTTGAAAAATTTTTAAAATATTAAAAAATAACAAAATGGCGGCCATTTTGCAAATTTGTCTACGCGATATTTATGAGTGACGTGCACGAACATTTGCATATATATATATGGGCGAATCTCTGTAACTTTTAACCTTTATGTCCCTCACATTATTTTCACTTAAACAGCCTAAATATAAAAACTAATGATTTTTAAATATTTACATGTTTTTAAAAAGAAAATAAGGATTACAAATTATCCATTAATATAAATTATTTTGTTTATTTTTTCTATGTTTTTCTTTATTAAAGTTCACAATACCATGATTTTGCAAGTGTCACTTTCACTTTTTCTAAAAATATTTTAACTGTTTAAATAAGATTTTTTTGGAAAACACGTTTTTTACTGTTATAAACTATTTAAAAATATCTTAAGAATTCCATAAACAAACTTAAAAAAAATAAAAAGTTAAAATTATAAAAGATATAATCTTCTAAAAAGTGTCTCTCAGTTTTTGTGTCGCAGGTCAAATCAAAATGGTTTTATAAAATAAACATTAAAAAACTAAATGAAAAAATTTGAAATAAGAGGCACAATTGAATTGTAATTCAAATTTTATGTGCATGATTTTTATTTTTATATTCAACTATATTTTAAGCAAAATAATTGTTGGATACTTGTGATACTGGTGTGGTACGAAAAATATGTCGCTGGTCAAATCATTAATTTCTCCAAAGTTTCTTATTTAATTTGCTCCAAAATTGGGGCACATATTACTTTAGATGTATTTAAAACTGTGCATATGTTTTTATTTATTCTAATTCTTATTTAATTATTTTTTTACGAGGATATTCAAATTGTCGCTCGTCAAATATGTCGCTTGGTCAAATCAATCGTTTTTCAATCAATCTGAAGTTTCGAATTTATTATTGTTCCATGTTATTTATCACGAAGTAACCAAAAATGTAATAAAAAGTGACAAAATGAAAGAAAATCGAAGAAAAGTAAATAAAAAACGAGAAAAAGGAAATGCGGAATGAAAAATTTACCAACGGAAGGCACTTAAGTAATATTTATTTATTTTTTATTAAACGTTCATGAAACTGTTAGAGTTTTTTCAAGGTTATATTAAGATCCTCGATATTTTTTCAAAACAATTCAGCCAATTAAATAATTAAAAAAGTTCATGTTACTAATTCAAATAATTATACGTAAAAAATTTTCATTAATTTTTTTATTGTAATTTTGTCCTTATTAGTTGTATTAGACGTTTATTATATTTATTTTCATGTTTAATTATGTTTTTGTGATACTGAGAAATAATTTACTTAAGTATAGGAGATAAAATATTTATGTATATCTTGTTACAGATTTAGATAACCTAATGTTGTTTTAAAACATTTTATGCGTAGCTTGAAGATTCCAGAAAAGAGTAGGAAAGGAAATAGGTACAGAAAGAAACGAAAGGTGCGGAGAAGAGCTGGATTTTCATGTTATATTTATGTCGCGTTTTATTTACAGATGTGACATAATATTAAATAAGTCACAATGAAATGTAAAATATAAATTAATATTTATTTTCCTAAAAATCATTATAACGAAAATAAATTAATCTTGATTATAAAGTATCATTTAATGCAAAGAGTAATAATTTTACTGTCTATGCCCGAGTTAGTTTCCGGTGCATTCTCGAGCTGCTGTCTTGCTCATTCTTATCGCGGTGTCCGATGACTTTAATGAGCCGAATAAAATTAAAATTGGTTAAAAATTATTAATTTTTTTATGAATATAATTTTATAATTATGTTACGAACTCTCGTAACACAACTAATATTCCTTTAATTGTGTCAAATAATTAATTATTGGAATAATTCAGGTACTTCTGGATAGGTAGTTTACTACTATTGTGACATTTATTAATTTTTTACAACGTTTCAACACCAGCGTTGGTATTTGGAATTATTCCAATAATATAAATGTTTTTACTCTGGAGTAACTGGACTAATTATAGTGAAATTTAATAAAATAATTAATTATTTAGCATAAATGCTTCAAAGAACTCATATATGCTTGGAAATATTAACATTAAATTCTTACAATTAAATTATAATTTGAGACCTACGAGGATCGAAATCCAGTTCTCTGCCGTACTAAGGAAATGGGACAAACAAACTTCATCGTCAACGGAACTGACTTATTTTATCTAAATATGTTTATTATTTGTTTTAATTAACTACTTTATTTGCATTAAATAATTCATTATTTGCATTAAATAAGTTATTATACTTGAAGCCATAAAATGAATTGTATCAAATAATTTTTATTTATACCAAATATTTAATTAATTGGTTGAAATAAAGAAATAAATTTTTTTAAATAACTCATTACCTACTTTGGTTTTAATAAGTTACTAATTTGATTAAAATATTTTTCATTTGTTTTCATGAAATAATACATTATTTCAAATAGATAATTAAGTTTACTTGAAGCGATAAAATAAATTAATTGTGCCAAAACATTTAACCCCGAGTATACTCAGGGTAACTAAGTATCCTATAACTCGTCAACAATACATCGGAATTACATGATCCAAAGTGGAAATTGAAGCTAATGCTCTAAGCTTTTAAAAAATATTGGTTTGCAATGATAAAATTTTTTTATCAGAGTTACATAACTTTAAATGCGTTAGTTAAACAAGCAATAGTTTTTCAATAAGTGGATAATGTGCATTTAATCAAAAAGTTTATGAAATCAGATTATGAATATCATTACTCGGGGGTTTTCGGGGTTGCTAATTACGAATCTGGCATCAGAACAGACCCCTGAGTAACAATTTTCACGCAAATTCGGTGAATTGAAATTTTTTTTTAAATTATTCGCCATATTGGATTCTCTATTTTAAATATTCAAAAACTAACATCAGGTTTGTAATTAGCGACCCCGAAAACCCCTGAGTAACAATTTTCAAGCGAATTCAATGAATTTTAAAATTTTTTGAAAAAGTTCCGCCATATTGGATTCTCCATTTTGAATTTTCAAAAATAGTCACCAGATTTATAATCAGCGACCCAAAAAACTATTAAAGCATGTTGAGATATGAAATTTTTTATCCAGGGTAAATTGAACCATTTTGGTACCGATTTCTGCAATTTAATTAAACCTTAGGAGGGTTAAATATTAGTATAATATAATAGAAATTTTGAATTCTGTGCAATATACAGACAAAGGTCTGATATTAATAATATGGATATTGTCAATATTCTGACCTAATACAATTCTTTTAGGAAAGTAAACTTATGATTTCAACAACAAATTTTTATTGTGGACCAAAGAAATACAACCGTATAAAAATTATTTACAAAAAAATGACAATTTTTAAACTTTTAATTTCTTAATCTTTGAATATTTTAATCTAACATTTTTTATCTGTTATTCGCAACTTTACTATTCTGACGACTAAATCTTAATAAGAAACACTAAAATTAATCCCGTACCCCGCAGTTTGAGTACAAATCACTAAAGTATATGAAAAAACAAAAAATTTCGAATTTTTGAAAAAGTGGCATAACTTTCGTCCATATTAATATTTTTTAATCTACTACCAAGGGTATAAGTATCCTTGGTTCGCGCCACTGAAAAAAGAGTATTCTAACTTTAAGGATATTCTACTTGACGTTAGAATATTCGCCACTTAAATGGGCGCCAAGAATATTTTCTTAGTGTAAGTGGGGAATATGCTTTAAGTAAGAATATATTCTAAAAATCTCTTTTGAAAATATATTCTTAACCTATTAAGCCATTCTTCTTATATTAAGAATATTATATTCTTTGAATTTATAAGCACATAATATTTTTGGGTTTCTGGAAATAATATTTTTCATTTATGATCTAAATAACAAATTTTCAATTAAATAGACATAATTTTGGAATGATAATATATGACAAAAATGTGAAATTTGATAAAACTATTTGATATTAATCACAATATTTCTTAAGTTAAAAAAATATTTATTTTTTTAAATAAATTTTTTCGAAAAAAAAATTTGGATAGAATTGTCTAATAACAATATTTTTTATTATAATAAAATTTGGTCGTTCAAAATTATATTAATAATAATAAGAAAAATAGATTGAACAACTTATCTCATGTATCTTTACTTTGAGGTTAAAATATACATTACCTGTCAAATTTACGTAAATAATACTTTTAATAATAATTAAATTAATCTATTTTTAAAAATAGTAATAATAATAATCTAAATAATTTATTATCATTAATTACAGCTAATTCATTTTTAATAAATAAACACACAAAATTAAAACTCAACACTGCGTCGCACACTCTATAAAACCAATTAAACGAATGAGAAACCGAAGACGCGTTATGGCGACCGCAGCACGCTCTTTCGTAAGTATATTTTCTTAGCTTGCTAAGAAGATATTCTCAAAATAAGAATATTTCTTTTATCGATTAGAATATAATTTAGAATATTTCTTTAAGAATATAATATACTTAAAAGTAGAATACTCTTTTTTCAGTGGCCCACTTGGCTTGGTATTTTTCCGGCACGTGAGACAATCTGAGCGGGAGGTTTGACGTCGAGGTATAATGATGTGCACCGTCGATTATTG